ACATGTCTTGACTTACAAGGCAAGTTTTTCTACATGTGGACCATATAGTTAGCTTGGTCTTCAAGCTAACAACATGTGTGGTACATGTCCAACTTGTTGACCACCTTTCTAATCCAAAAAGTCAATTAAAGATACCTATAAAGTCAAAGCAGCATCTATAAAGCTTCTAAGAAGCTCACATAGCAAATATTATAGAATTAACTTACTTTTACTTACTTCTACCTATTTAAACATGTAATTACTAGCTTACATTCGTATGTCCGTGATAGTATGATGTAGGAATAATAGTTCTTATTAAAATTTTAAATAAAGCTTTTAACTTCTTCATTTCAGTCAAATTTGTCTCTATAAGTCAAATATGTAAATAAAGCTGCAACTTGAAAAAAAAAACCTTTATAAAAAATAGATAGTGACTAGTAAATTTTAAAATATATTGATTTTTTTTTTCTTAAAATCTTTTAATTCATAATTGTTTGAATTATTTTTAGAATTCATTATAAGACCATCATTTAAAAATAATATATCATAAGAAGTTAACTTGAGTTGTATGAAATATATACTTTTTTATCTTAGCATATAGTCTTGCATCTCAAAGTTCTTATAATTTACAAAAAATATGAATTTCATACTCTTTTGTGTTCATAAAATAAATAAGAATTTTTTTTAGATAACAAACAATAAAATTATTTCAAAATTCTTTAAAAAAAACATTTATAAGATATTAAAAAGTAATTGATTCAAAAAGAATGACATTATATTTAAAAATTCCATACCTAATTTAAAACAAAATCATCCATTCATCTCATTTTTTAATATATAATAAATTATATGTTACTTATAAATTTATTTTAATATAGATATTGATTTAGTTTAGGTTTTCTTGAAATCTTAATATTGAAAGTAAACAATACATGTACTCAATGACAATTTTATTGAGTCATTGATGATCTACTTACATCTATAGTAATCCATCTTTTTTCTTCAAAAATAAGATAGGAGCTACTATTAGAAATTTTGAAGAGCATATTAAGTTCTTAACTATGTTTTCATCAATATATTTTTAAAGTGTAATCAACTTATATTGTAATAAGCTATAAATTGGTCCAATTATAGTTAAATTTCTTCTTGAAGGTCAATTGAGCAATCAAAAGGACAATACTTCTTAATTTTATTAATATTTTTTTTTCAAAAATATCTTGATAATCTTGATATTGACTCAAAAAACCACTTAAAATCTTTTTATCATTAGAAATAAATGTGGCACAAATAAAAAAATGTGTTTTATTTTTTACAACATGTACAAAGGTTTTTATATCTACTAATAAGGGTTTGGTTTTATTAAACTTATGACTTATTATTTTCCTAAGAAATTTTTGGATTTTAATATAGAAAAAATTAAGATTATAAAAAGTTTAGTCTATTCAAGAATTATATCTTTTTAGCTATAATAAACTTAAAGTAATAAGATTAGAAGAAGATCTAATATCTCATTAAGATATTATAACTAATAATTTTTATATTTATAAGAATATTTTTATGAGTGACATCTCTTAAAGAAAACAAAAAACTATCTATGACTTCTTCATATATATGTTTAATTTTTTTGATTAAGGATATTTTTATTTTTGAATAAAATCTTCATTTATAAAATAAATTTATAATCTTAAGTCTAACAAGACAAATATTTTGTAATTTTTAGGTCTTAAAGAAATATATATTGTAAATCAAAATAGAAATCTTAAGTGAAAATAGGACCTTTACTAGATGTTGCACAAGATTTTAACTATAAGATTTGTATTGTAGTTTCACAAACTCTTTTTTTTTCATAGATCTTCTTTGGCAACCATATTCCTCATTTTCTTATTGTATTGCTTCTTTAGATAATTTTTAGCAATGTATTTAGATTCTATACAATAGAAGCATAATTATTATTGATAATATTAAATCTTTTATTTTTTAGTGAGAGGTTAAAATATATAATATCAAATTCCATAAATTTAGGTATTTATAAATAAGTTTTAAAAAAAATAGAATTTATTCATATAACTTAACTTATTCTTTTTTAATCAAATTTTTATTCTTATCAACTTTCAAAAATTTAATTATTACATGCAATGGCTTGAATAATATATTTTTTTTAATTAATCTATTTTTTGAATTATTCATAGAAAATCTTTGATATTGTCTTTTAACTCATATTGAATTTAATTGATAAGAATTATATCATTCCAATATACATCACAAGAAAGGTATTGGAATTGGGTAACTTATATGATAGTTGATTGTCATTCTTGTTGTAAAAATAGTTTTTTTTTCTATGCTTTTTCAATGGCTTTTTTTAAATGTAGATATAAAAAATTTCAAGAATAAATTTAGGTCATATAAAAGTTATGAATTATTTTTTAATAAAATTAAAAATCAAGAAAGAGTACTTTCAAATATAATAGTGTCTATAAATCTAACTTTAGTAAATCCATCAAAATAATGAGAAAGGTATAATCTTAATTTGAGCTTGATTTTTTGTAGAAAAATTCAAAATTTTGATCTTGTTTTATCAAACTTCTTTAGCCTTCTAATCCTTGTCTAATTCATACTTGTAGTAGCAAGACTTCTTGGATTTAATTGCAAGGTTGTTCTACTTTCTTCTCCTCATTGCACAACTTTGTAACATAGACATTTGATATCATTATTGACTTCTTTTATAAGTATAGGAATATTACTTTTATGGTTGATATTGGGACTATGTAAAAAATTTGTCATAAAAGTTTTGACAAGCTCATGAAGATTTGTAATAGTTACAAATCTATTCTTATTTTTTTTAAATGTAGCATCTATAATTTTTTCTTCTATCTTTAAAACAAATATCTTTAACCAATCTACAAATCATATTATAAGAGAGTAATCTATAATTTTTAATATAAAATAAAAATTTCCATAAAGAAGGATATTCTAATTTCTTTAAAGAAAGAAAATAAAAACACAAAAAATAAAAAACAAAACAAAATAAAAAACAAAAACAAAAGAAACAAAAAATATTAGTTTAAAGCTAAATAGTATGAAACTTTTAAAACACAAGAAAAGAAGTGCAATGATCTACTTACTTTCAAAATGAAACAAGGATATAAATCACAAGTAATAAAATCCTCAATACACTCTTATATTATTAAAAAAGAGTAGATAATTATTAAAAATTAGTATAATATTAGAATTAAAATATTATGAAATAAGACTAAAAACAAGAAAGGTATTAATAAGAGTAAAGAAGGCTTCAATCTTGCCTTTATATATACTATCTATCTATGAATTATGTAGTTACATTCTATAGGACTTCCAAAAAGTGTCCAACTTGTAAGATAAGTATATATATATATATATATATATATATATATATGCCACATGGCCAATTTATATCACTTGTGGTTTACTTGTTGACTAAGTTTTAAACCTATCAATCACATATAGACATGTATAAAGTCAAATCCACATCTATGAAGCTTTTAAAATTCTTTTTTATAAAATATTGTTAATTTTATTTACTTTTATTTATCTAAGTAATTATAAATTCTCATTATGTTTGTATTATATATATGACTAAAAAGTATAATAACTTTGCATATTTTTATAGATTGATTTTTAATACATTAATAATATATATATATATATATATTCGAAAATATATTTATATAATTAAAGAATATATAAATCATATGAAATAGTATATAGATTATACATGGAACCATAAAGATAAAACAAAACACAAACAAAGCAAGTTTTTAAAATTATAAGAAGAAGTTATGTAAGAATAACAACACTTATTTATTAAAATGACATCATAGATACTAATTCTTTTACTTAAATATTATATTTTTTATGGATACAAAATAATTTATAAGAAAATAAAAATGTTAATAATAATATTGATAAAGTAATATAATATAAATAAAAATTGTTGACTAAAGAATACTAATAAGTATTTGAAGTTTATTTTTTTATAAAATACATGATTTTAAAATATACTTTATCATCAAAATGATAATATCAAATTTATAATTTTTAAATAGATAGTTATAAAAATAAAAATAATGGTCTTTGTAAAAAATAACCAAAAATATTTTAAATGACAAATAAATTATGGGTGTATATTTATTTAAATTATAAAATACTACTAAAAAAATATTAATTTAATCTTATTTAGTATTCTATAATATATACTAAAATAAATAAATATAAAATAAAATTTTGTGCCACTCAAATTATAAAAATATCTTAGAATTATCAAATGATAATTTCATGCTAATTTACTCAATAAAATATTTGGATAAGACATTTTATAGTTTTGATTTTGAATTTATAAAAAATATATAGTATTAAAAAATTAATAATAATAATGATAATAAATCACTACCAAACACATTATTTTTTATTTTTTAAAAAATCTTTTAAATAGTTTAGCACTACATATTATTTATTTTAAAAAAAATGTCAAGTTAATTATTTCATTTAATGTCTTTTCATCATATAAAATATATATTATAATAAAAAAATATGGTGAAAGGTGTATCAATAAAAGTGGTAATTAAAACTTTCATATACATACATATGTATTTAAGAATATCAAAAATATTTATTAAAAAAAAGGTATTAAATCTCAAATTGAGTCCAAAAATCAAATAGTTCACATTTTGAAAATAACTACTAAAATCTAAGGGTCTTTGTACTTAGGGAAGAAGCTGAGAGGTCATAATCTTTAAAACTCGTGATTGGTTGAAATGAAGAAGCCTTAATGGACTATCTTTATACTTTAAAAAATTAGCTAAGATGTAGTACGATTATTCTGGATTCTTCATTGTAGTACGATCACACTTCGTCCACGCTGGACCATGAAAAACGGGGAGCAATGACGAAAGCCCTAAAACTCCCAATTTTAGAGTTCAAGGAATATGTTTTTTGTTTTTGTGGGGGTGTCTAGTAAGAGTAAGGAAATTGGACAGTGATGATGGAAGCTGTGCAACTAACTCCTCCGATGTGGACTCGCAATGGCGCTTGGAACGGGACCACTCGGTCTTGGCTGGCTGGCTGCGACATGCCGACCTCGACGCTTCGAGAATCGATGGCGGGGACAAGACAAGAAGAAAGGAGCCCACTTCGATCCACCCTTCACATCAATTCGGTGCCGAATCTGTAGCTCACATGTGGAGTTGCTACGATTCAGCCAAGCTCATCGAGTACCGCATCGAGGCGGAGCCATGAAAGCTCCTGTTGCTGCTGCTGCTGCTTCTGCAACAATCTGTTCACTGAATTGGGTTGCATTCACTTCCTCTGCACTCCCCTCACACGAGACCGCAGGAACCACAGATCGTGAGGAGGCGTTGTGAGTAGGCGGTGATCTGTGAGAGTCCAGTAGCCTTGTGGAAATAGAGAGGAAGTGTCAGGTGGATTCACGTCAGCAGCCCGCAATCTCGCGTAAGACGCTTACTGTCTCGCATCAAATTTAGCATCTAGACGTACAGGCATCGCGCTTTCATCTTGCTCTCTCTCTCTCTCTCTCTCTCTCTCTCTCACTTCTCTGTCCATCTGTCTTACGTGGGTTAAGTTAGACCGCTTGGGCTTCTTCCATTTCCTTGTGAGGAGGTTTGATGGCTGGAATTGTAGGCCATGTCCCCATGACGTGTAGTAGAATTTGATGCGTGTGGGTTGCAGGTTTGTGGGAGGTGGAGTAAGGGATGGAGGGAGAGAGGTTCAATCCAACGCCGGCGATGGACGAGGACGGCAAGGAGGCGGAAGATGGCATGTATGAGATGGCGAGAAACGAGGAGTTGCAGATGGGGGAGCAGGAGATATATCGTGATTTTGCGTCGACTTCTGGGTCAGGGTTGTCGTCGCCGCAGGAATCGACGTCAAGGAAGCTGTCAATGGAGACGGGGTCCAAGGTTCTACCTTACATGAGCCATTCTGGTGTGAATCAGGGTAGCAACACCTCGAAGACAGCTCACAATCGCGAGGATGGCTATGAGCCTGCTCAAGTGGTGCCCTACTTCGCTGGCAGTGTCGGGATTGTGTTCTTCTGCCTCTTGCTCGCAGGTGGTCTTGTGGGTTCTGTGCAGTTTCGGCTGATTGCAAGTGGTTCAGTGCTCCTCGTAGATATTTTTGAGGTCTAAAGTGACTTCTGGTGTCGAGATTTTGATCAAGCTGGAATAGGCCGCCCAATCGCTAGTTGCAAGGATGTGCTTCTCCGCTGTGGAATTTGACGCAACTGTACCTCATTTGTGTGAATTCCCTCAGCTCGAGGTTAATAGCTTTGGTATCAGTGAAGTTTTAGAATTCACAGTCCTAGAGAACGCTAGAGCATCTGAAATTGGGGTGTGTTTCGGCAGGTTGGACTTCTGGCGACGGACGTTCCATCTACAATGTAGACATTTCAGGGATTGTGGCTAACAAGGTTAAACTTCCTGATGGGCGGCACATTGCGTATGAAGAGAAAGGCGTAAGCAGGGATGTTGCGAAGATCAATATTCTTGTAGCGCATGGCTTCCTGTCCTGCCGACTTGCAGGTATTTGCGCACCTTTCCACCCAATTTTCCTTCTCTTGGGCTAGATCGTAAGTCCTATAATCCAAATCTCTCGTTTCAAGGTACACGTCTTCCCTCAGCAACAGCACCCCTCTGCAGCTCTATTCCCATGCATTTCGTCCATCTAGCATCGGTGAAATTCGCTTACCATGTGCCCTATTTGTGAAAGCAGGGATACCTGGCATAAGTGACAGGCTTCTTGAGAAGTATGCAGCGCGAGTGATCTCGTACGATCGGCCAGGAATTGGTCAAAGTGACCCGCATCCCAAGCGAAATTACAACACCTCTGCTCAGGACATGGCTTATATTGCTGATGCGCTAGGCATGGGTGACAAATTTTGGGTGCTTGGATACTCAGGTGGTGGTCCGTATGCATGGGCTGCACTTCACTACATCCCTAATCGATTGGCTGGTATGTATGCGGGCCATTACCAGGGCTTAAGCTTGTTCATATTTGACGTTCTTGTTTTCGGCTTTCGGGAGATGCATGCATTGCCATGCCGAATGTCCGCATTTAATGTTTGGACAAGATGGTTGAATGAGTGCGTGTGGCAGGAGTGGTAATGTTTGGACCTATGGGAAATCCTTACGCTACAAACATGACCAAAGAAGAAACAAAGACTATTTGGAAGCGTACCGACAGAAACCGCAGGTGGCTGTATCGCCTGGCTCGTCACTTCCCATCCTTACTTCCAGGCTTTCTGAAAAAGGGCATTGTTGGCAAACCCGTGAAGCTTATGAGACAAGTGAAGAAGTCGGTCAATCCCAAGGTGAGAAAAATCCCTTTCAGTTCTGTTTCGACCTAATTGAATGCTTCTGGAGTCCCTTAAATTGGTTGGAGGGCGGTCTGCCAGTTGCAGCTTTGAATTTTGCGCTTGCATTCTCTTTTTCGTGCGGATATGATCTTAAATGTGGGTTATTTTTGGGCAGGATTTGGCGTTGCTTGAGACGGATAAATTTGGTGAGAACTGGGAACGATCAATTAGAGAGGCTATGCGTTCTGGGGATACTAAGGCTTGGGCAGAAGATGTCATTCTTCATTGCAATGACTGGGGATATAAGCTGACAGATCTTAATCCCAAGCCAGCAAAGAAAAGTCTATTCAACCGTATCTTCTCCCTTTTTGGAGGCGCAGAACTGCCACCTTTCACTGGACCGATTCACATCTATCATGTAAGATATCCCCTCTTTCATTATACTCAATGTCTTTATGTGTAGAACCTGAGTCGTAGATCTGCCTTGTGTCAGATATGGTCTACTTGTTTACCAAATTTGCTGCGATACTGGTGTCATCTTTGTATTAAGTCCCAAATGCATTATTCTTCTACGCCAGGGGGCGGAAGATGCGTTGGTGCCACTAACCATGAGCCAGCATGCAAAGCGGATGCTCCCCCAAGTGCATCTTCACGTTTTGGAGGGACATGGTCACTTTTCCTGGTTCTGCTACTGCGACAGCTGTCATAGGGAGCTCTTCAAGGCCCTTTTCGGTGAAGTGGAAGGCTTGCACGAGTTAGAAAAATCCCCCGAACCTCAGATTCTTGCTCCTGAGGTGCCTGAAGCACCTGCATACGAAGAAAGAACAATCTCTTCTGAAGCTGCTCCTCACGAAGATCCGCATGTTGCGGAAACTATAGACACAGCTACCCTCGAAACTACTACCGAGACAGAGCCAGAAGGTGTCGATCATGTAGAGGTCGAGATAGAGCAAGACTCTTTCTCTTCCAAGGTTGAGACCACTCCCCAGGAGGCCGAAGTGGGTATTAGTGGCATTGGCGAGAGAATCCCAAAGGAAGAGTAGGTGTTGTAGAGCTGATATGGCTGAGCTGCCAGCGAAGAGGTGGTTACAGCATGGTGGAGGCATATACCTGACTACTATTGTCCATGTAGATAGGGAAATTAAATCTGTTTATAATTGCATTCTGATGTCGTTACCCTTCTGAAGTAATGAGGACATCTTAACATTGTGAGGTGGTGGTATATGTGAGCCTTGTGTGCATTCAGTCAATGTAGGGTGACTGTCATGTGCAGCCTGCAGGAACCGCCTGTTCGTGTGGGCTGTGGGAGATTTTCGTTGTCTAAAAATGTTGTCTGGCCAAGCAGGTACCCACTTCAACACAAGAGATGCCTTCAGCTGATTCAGGTATCTTCAGTATTTGGATTATCTAGGAGCATACGGAAGATTTTAACGATCTCCAGCCTCCTAGTGGCGGTAGTGGCTTGCCTCGTACAGCAGAAGTCTGGCTATGGGATTTCATGTCAGCCTCCTTAGCAAGCTCTTTATCTCGTGCAAACCTGGCGTTCAATTCATGTTTTTGTTATTGAGATGCTTTGTGTGCAATGATGTAAGTTGGTCATGGATGCAACGAACAGCTTAATTTTCCCTTCTTTTGGAACAATTGTGAACAAATGTGAATCATGCACTCCATGGTTGCGTGAACACAGCGAGTCCCTTCAGCGAGTCCCTTCAAATGTGTCCCATTAGGAACAAGTTACTTGAGATGTTTGTTTGTACATTAATATAGTGTTAACTAATTTTGATTCTATTTAACTACTTTCAGATGATTTCATGCATCATCTCTAATAGAGAAATGTAAAATTTGAATTTTCCTCTTCTTGAAAAATAAAATTGTTATTTTTGAGTCTAGGGTGTTGTGCTACCTGTTGTGTTGTTTATATTTTGTTATTTTACTTATGAAAATATGTATTTGTATATGAAAAAAGTTCAAATAATTTTTAAATGATAATAAAGCTTCTAAGAGTGTTGGCTTGGACATAATTAATACTTGTAATTAATTAGATAAGAGGAGTTAGGTAGAATTAAGTAAAAGTAGATAAATAATATAATATTTTGTGGAAAAACTTCTTAGAAACTTTATAGACACAAATTTTACTTTATATGCGTATGTAGATCATTTGTATATTAATCATATATATACATATATATATATATTTTCAAATTCAATGTTCTTACCAAAATAATGTGAATAATTATATATAAATTATGTATATAGATATAAGACTTCATTCAATTATCTTTACATAATGTATTATTAAATTTAAAGTATTTTTTTTTATATAAAATTACTGAAGTAATCCAACTCCTATATACATCTTTAGATTATAATTACTTTTTTTATACTAATTGTATTATGTACAGATCTCTAATAATGACTTTTCAAATATTTTAGTCATTTTTTGGAATTTTAATTATTTTTTAAAAAGTTAATTAATATTTAAAATTATTTATTTTTATATTTTAATATGTATTACTTTGTGAATATAATTAATAATCAACTCTAAGTAATAATTATAATTTAACATTAATATATTTATATTAGATAAATTTTATAATCAATATTAAATATAATCAATTAAAATAATCAATTAAAATAAAAACGAGATTATTTGATGGAATATTAAATTTAGTTAAAATCATGGTACCATTTAAATATCATTTTCTTTTGTAAGAAATTAGTGATTTTTGGTTTATCCTTTCATATCAAAGAATCAAATTTTGTCCTAGTAAAATAAAAGGTATTGATAATGCTTCTACAATTTTTGCTAATGCCATCATAACTTGTCATCCACTCAACATATTTCTTTAGTTTCATTTTATTCCAATCATTTTTACAAAAAAAGTTTTATTTTTTCTAAATTGTATACAAAGAAATTTTAATTTTAATTAAAAATAATAAAAAAAATAATTTCAATTAGTTCTTGTGGCACATAAAAAAAATTACAATGACATTAGTAACATCCTAAATAAATCTACTAACAAAAATTAAGAGTCACTTTTAAAAAGCTTTCTATAAAACATTTGTAGTAACCTTTTAGCAAAAAGATTACTCTATTATTGTTTTGACAACAACTAATTTGGATGATGGGTTATTTTGTGCAAAATATAAACTAAATAGTAACTATTATGGGATATTTAATTGATTGATTGGGTCTAAATCAATAACTTCTTTATAATTTTTTTAATGATGTGATTTTTTAAATTTTAAATATAATTACAATTTAAATATTTGTTTGGATATTATATATATATATATATATATATATATATATAATACCTAATTTAGATACTTTTTTTGTTTCTTCGTCAAATAATGCCATATTCTTAAATTTTGTTTTTAGTTAGAAAATTTTAATTAATAAAATAAAGTCAAAGTAAACCCTCAATTTTCTTAATTTTATTTATAAATAATATAGTAGTAAAAATTTAAAAATAAAAATTTATTGTTATTAAAATTTTAAATAATATTATAATTTATATTAACAAGAAAATGATATATATATATATTAAATTTGGAAATTTTTCTTTTTATTTTTTTAATTGTCAAAATTAGAAACACCTGCAAATATTTATGTTAAAAATTGTTTAATATAAATTAGCTTAATGTTAAGATAAAATTTATGAAATATTTACAAAATTAATATTTTTAAATATATTTTTAATAACGTATTTGTATAATAGATGTATAAATGTGCAAACAATGCATACATATATGTTTTTAGGTATATATATATATATATATATATATATGCATAAGTTCTATTATTAAATTAAAAAATATCTGTATTTGTTATATTGTACTAATATATGTTATATTGTAAAATTAACATGATATCATGCTAATGTTTTATTTTATTCAAATTTACTAAGTTATTCAGTATCTATGAGATTTGTAGTATATAATTTATTAAAAAGAATATTTATATTTAGGTGTATTTACATATATACCAAAAATATTTTTTAAACTTAATTAATATTTATATTTATTAAAATTAAAAATTTATTAAAATTTTAGAAGTATAAATTTATATATATATATATATATATATCTAGCGAGAGAGAGAGAGAGAGAGAGAGAGAGAAATAGATCCAAAAATCAATTGGTAATACACATGCTTAAACAATCTTTAGATATTATTTCAAGTAGAAAAATATCAATGTGTATCAATTTATAAACAACTTTCAAACTATATAAAAATAATATTTAATATTTATATATTAAATTTTTTATTTCATATTAAAATAATATTCAATATTTACTACTATTTATTATATATACTTAGATTTTGTTAAACAAATATTAATATAATACATGTTTATATAAAAAAACTTATAATGTGTAATATGTTTGTAATAATGTCTTGATTTTTATGCTATTCTTTTCAACACTTGAATATTTATTTGATAAAGCTTAAACATTTGTAATTAGATATTATCAATTATAAATGAAAAAAACATATATAGTTGTTATTTGCTCGAGATGATCACACCTACAGGGAAAGGTATTACTTGTTTGAGGAATCTATATCCACCGAAGTATCTCAATAGCACAACGTTAGAGGAACAATAGTGAGGAGCTAAGGTATTATTACGAGGCCATTAAAATTAACAAGAACGCAATAAGGTAGAAGGATATTTAAAGGTCAGGAAAAACACAATGGAGTAGTCAAGAATTAGAACAATACTTAGTGGATCCTAGGCAATAGCACCACAAACTATAATAGTGCAGGGCCAGAGACAATGTGATTTTGACCGAGAAATAAACAATGTCTTGTTTTCTTTTCCAATCATTGTGTGTATTGCCTTTTGTCTCACATGATCTTGTCCTACGTTTGCTTGTAATCCCAAAAGCCCAAGTAACAATATTATATTTAAAGAAGAATATAATGCCAATGTTTTTTCATGCCAAAATTTGATGTGTGAGAGGATTTCTATATTTTAAATTCTAAGATTTGAACATCAAAAACACAATCTGAATTTTGATTACATTTTTTTACTGAAAGATACAAAATGTTATTACGAGTGTGCAATTATATTATTGAGTTTGGTTTATACACATTATGTGTTCTGAAAGTGATTTAAAATTTTGAAGTCTACTGTTTAGTCAAACTTAATTTAGGTATAATAAATTGAACATATACAATGCTTATACAATGTGATTATCAAAACTAAAGTTGAATAGCTAATAACGTGATAATGTTTTATACATTATTTTTATAAATATATAGTAATAGTCTAAATTGTGTTTAAAGTTTTATTTTTTCATTTTTGAAAACTTTAATTCTAAACATTGAAAATAATATTGAATCCTAAACTCTGAAACACATGTTAAAGAGGGTCATTAATGACACATGTTGACGTATTTAAGATATTATATATTGGACAATTTCACAAGAATGATATTTATTTACAGAACCTATAATATTCTTTAAAGATAAAAACAAAAAAACATACCAGCTACAAATGAAAATGAATTCTTTTAAAAAACAGTATGCATAAAAGCAATTAATGCATAGCTTTTATTTCAAATACATTTTATCATTAAATTAATTTTTTTAAAAAGAAATCAAGTTTTACTGGAAGCACAATCAATCATTGTGTTGACAAACAAGAAAGTTAATTTTGTTAGTTACAAATGAAATAAACTACTAACAATATCAAACGTGTCAAATTTGTGTGTCTACAACTACTTCAATGTAGATCATGCCAGAAAATAACATTAATCTATCTACACATTATACATCAACCAATGCTATATTAATGTTCCAACCCAATCTACTTTACTTTTATTTATTTATTTTTATTATAGTCGTAATTTTCCTTTAGGAATCTTTGCATAATTCTTGCAATTAAAGACTCAAAGTATACGGATTAAAAAAAACATGTATCAAAGGTACGGTGTATGCATACTTTCCGAAAAATATGAAAATATCCATAATGGAGAGAAATAATTTATAACAACAAAATAATGTAAAACAAAAAGCATACTTTAAAGTTCACCTGATGAAAATTTAAAGTTCGCGCTCAATAGTGACTCGAAGGCAGAGACACTGCACAGAAATCGCACGCATCGATGCCGCAAAAGCCCTAAACCTCCTCTTAGGAGAGAAACTGTCGGAGCAGGCATTGTCGTCATTTGCAGGCAGCTCGAGGGAGAGCGAGGGTTATCGCAATGGCAATGGCAAGAATAACCAAGTGAGGTGCGGGAAATGAGAGCGTGAGAGAGAGCGAGAGAGAGAGAGTGTGAGAGGAGGTCCTGTGCAGGACTTAGGGGAGGGGGGCCGTGGCGTGGAATTGCGAGGATTGCAATCTGCTGGAGAAAGGGGGTTAGAGATGGTGGCTGTGGAGCTCTATCCGTCGCAGGAGGATCTGTTTTATGAGGAGGAGATACTACGGAACCCTTACTCGCTGAAGCTATGGTGGCGCTATGTGAAGGCGCGGAGTGATGCGCCCGCAAAGAAGCGGCATGTGTTGTATGAGAGGGCGGTGCGGGCGCTGCCGGGGAGTTACAAGTTATGGCATGCGTATTTGAAGGAGAAGGTGGATGGGGTGAGGGGATTGTCGCTCTTGCATCCTCGATATGAAGACTTGAATAATACGTTTGAGAGGGCTTTGGTGACCATGCATAAGATGCCGAGGTTGTGGATTATGTATTTGCAAACCCTAACGGAGCAGAAGCTGTTGACGCGCACGCGGAGGACATTTGATCGGGCGTTGTGCGCGCTGGCTGTCACGCAGCACGACCGGATTTGGGAGATTTATTTGAATTTCGTGTCGCAGCAGGGAGTGCCGGTGGAGACCTCGTTGAGAGTGTATAGACGGTTTTTGAAGTATGACCCGACGCATGTCGAAGATTTCATTGAGTTTTTGCAGATGTCGGAGCTGTGGCAGGAGGCCGCTGAGAGGTTAGCTCAGGTGCTCAATGACGAAACTTTTTACTCTCGTCAAGGGAAAACAAGGCATCAGCTCTGGTTGAGTCTTTGCAAGCTGCTTACCACGCACACGAAGGATGTTTCTGGTCTACAAGCCGATGCTATTATTCGTGGTGGAATTCGTCGATTCACAAACGAGGTTGGTCGCTTGTGGACGTCACTTGCAGACTATTACATTAGGTGTGGATTGTTCGAGAAAGCCAGGGACGTATTTGAAGAAGGAGTGATGAGTGTGGTGACTGTGAGGGACTTCAGCATTGTTTTTGATGCCTACTCGCAATTTGAAGAGAGTATTTTAGCCGCCAAAATGGAGCAATCGACTTTGGATACTGATGATAGACAGGAAGAAGAGGGAGACGAGTCTACACAAGATCCTCACCGATTAGTGTCGTTTGAGAAATGGATAGAGAAGTCGTTCTGGCTCAATGAAGAAAACGACGTCGACTTGCGCCTTGCTCGGTTAGAGAACCTAATGGAGAGGCGACCCGAGCTGGTGAGCAGCGTGCTTTTGCGACAAAATCCGCACAATGTACATGAGTGGCATAAGCGAGTAAAGCTATTTGCTAATAATCCATCCAAGCAAGTATTAACTTTTACGGAGGCTGTTAGGACAGTGGATGCTATGAAAGCAGTCGGAAGGCCTCACACACTATGGGTGGCATTTGCTAAGCTGTATGAGTCTCATGCGGATGTCGTGAATGCTAGAGTCATTTTCGAGAAGGCAGTAATGGTTAATTACAAGGCAGTGGACGACCTAGCCATCGTATGGTGTGAATGGGCTGAGATGGAGCTTCGGCACAAAAATCTTAAGGGTGCACTGGATTTGATGCAGCGCTCTACAGCTGAGCCATCTGTTGCTATCAAACGTAAAGGTATATTGTCCTTGTTCTTGTTCTGTTGGTGCTACCTACTTGCGTAGATGAACGTAATATTTCATTCACTGACTGCTCGTCATTTTTTCTATTTGTTTTTGTTTTTTTTTTGCAGTGGCTGAGCTGGGGGAAGAGCCGGTACAGCTGAAATTGCACAAGTCTCTAAGGTTGTGGGAATTCTATGTCGACTTGGAGGAGGGCTTGGGTACTTTGGATAGTACCCGCAAGATTTACGAGAGGATTTTTGACCTCAGAATCATTACTCCAAAAATTGTCCTGAATTATGCTGCCCTACTAGAGGTAACAGTCTGCTTCTTTAGTGAATAGCCATCGAGACTCCATGCATTGCGTGAGTGATTCCTTCCTGTCGACTGTTTCTGCCCAATTATGTTGGTTTCAATCCAATCTCATCAAATTTGTAAGTATGAGACTAACATCTTCTACATTCACTGCTCTGCAGGACAACAAGTTCTTCGAAGATGCTTTTAAAGTTTACGAGAGAGGAGTACAAGTATTCAAATATCCCCATGTTCGCCCTATCTGGTCCATGTATCTAAATAAATTTGTAAGCCGCTATGGAGGGAAAAAATTGGAACGTGCACGAGATTTGTTTGAGCAGGCTTTGAAAGAGGTACATGAATTCATTTTTTTGCACATGTATCAGTTTCTGTAAACACGCTTATTATGTCGTTTTAATTTGTTTTATATATATATGTGTGCGTGTGCGTGTGCATGTGTGTGTATAAAATGGCCATATCGTCCTAACGAGGCTTTGATCTTTCGATTTTTACAGCTTTTAAGCTTTGAATTGGTTTGTAGGTGCCCGAGGCAGATGCTAAACCTCTGTATCTACAATATGCAAAATTGGAAGAGGATCATGGGCTTGCTAGACATGCACTAGCTGTGTATGAGCGTGCTACAAAAGCTGTTGAAGAACACGAGAAATTAAGTATCTATGATATTTATATTGCACGAGCGGCAGAATTTTTTGGGTTACCCAGGACTCGTGAAATCTACGAGGTATGTTCAGTTTGGTAGCCTGCTGTGGTTTGTAGTATTGCGATCTGACCATCGCTGTGTGCGTGCGAAAGAATAGTAGATTACGAGCAGAATGTGCTTTCAGTTGAATTAAGTGCAACTATTGGGATGTTATCGTATATTTTGTTGGGCGTGGTACTAATAAGATTTGATATTACGATTGTGGTGTGAATCGCAGCATGCAATTGAGTCTGGTCTACCCGACAAGGATGTTAAAACCATGTGCATTAAGTATGCTGAGCTTGAGCGGAATTTAGGAGAAATAGATCGGGCTCGAGCGATTTATGTGCATGCATCGCAATCGGCAGACCCACGTTCAGACACAGAGTTCTGGAGTAAGTGGAATGACTTTGAAGTTCAACATGGTAATGAGGACACTTTCCGAGAGATGTTACGCATCAAGAGAAGTGTGACTGCTAGTTACAGCCAGGTGGGGATATTTTACCTTCTGTTTTTTTTTGGTTAGCGTTTTGGTTGGGCTGTATATTTGTGTGTTAATGTTACGGATCGATTGAATGGAGAAAGTGTTGAGTCAGCTGACAATTTCTGTGTCCTGTTTCTATGATGTACAGATGCACTTTATTCTTCCCGAGTATCTCATGCAGAGGGAAACTGGGAAGGTTTCAATGGAGGAAGCTGTAGATGCTCTAGCAGGAGCAGGCATTTCCCGTGATGATGGAATGGCTGCGCTGGAGAAAGAAATGGCTTCTTCTGCTGGAAAAGATGGCATGAAGGCTTTGGGTTTTGTCAGTGCTGGAGTGCAGTCACAGACTGATGGTGGGGCAGGTCTTGAGAGGGACAGGAAGGATGCAAACGATGAAGAGATTGGGCTAGAGGATGAAGAGGAAGAAGAGGATGCAGGCGTAGATGTGGCTGAAAAATCTGTTCCTGATAGTGTGTTTGGAAACCTGGCACAGGTAAAGCATGCAGGCGAGAGTAACGAGAAAGGGGAGAAGAGAGAATTTGCAGATGCTGAGCCATTGGGTGCAAAAGAAAGGTTCAAAAGACAAAAGAAAACAGTAGATTAGACTTAGTGCTATCGACTGTTTCATCTTTTTTTTATATGGCTGTTAGGTAGCACATGACACCACTGTGTCCAAATGTAATTTTGGCTTTGTAGTGATGCATTCTGAATACGCTATCGAGTGGACTCTTTCTTCGGCCATATTTTCTGGCAAGCTTTTTATATAAGAAGAAACCTCTCATTCCAGACCTGGATGCATTTTTGACTGCGAGCTCCAACCAGTAAGTTTGCGGGCTTCTCTTACAGTCTTATTATCGACCCTTAATTTCGCTACTGTCTTTGCTCTTCGAGCAAATACTTGAACTACTTCTACAGTTTACTTACTAAGCTTTACAATGATCTACAATTGTGTAGCTCGTCTTCGCCATATTTCAGACATTTAATTTTTCCGCTAATTGATGTGTGTTTTGGCGCAGTTATGGCACACTCATATGGACGAGAAATTCGAAACAACTCATCAATCAGGAATTTGTCTATCTGTGCGAGGGTGACCTGACTTGGGCTAATGTAACACAAGCACGTGTGTCAAGATTTACTGAGTATTTTTCCAACAGTGTTTCTGGAGTTTGGGTTGCGCGGGGTGTCAAATGCAAGAGTATATTGTCCTTAATCGTGGTAAAGATTGAATGACGATCATTCTGATCACCACGGATGATAAGATTGATTTTCGTTTATCTTTGGAGCAAAGGTTTTCATTTTCAGTTTAAGAGTTGTCTCTGGAAGTCTTAGCATGCTGCGGTAGTAGATGGAGGAGAAATAGTTTTCTCCGTTTCTAGAATATCAATACGAGATTACGGGAAGAAATGAATGCAAAGTGTATGACCCCTCTTTGCGTCTTGTGGTCATACGAAGTGGTAGTGTGGGTTATTAGGTTTTCTTGTGCCTCTCGCTTTTGTTAACTTCAGAAATATTGTGGTTGGGAGGATCGTACAGTTGCATCCTTTTGCTGCCGAACGTCTATAAACTTAGCGAAATTGGTTTATTTAGAAACAATCCGAATATGCATGTATTAGCTTCTGCATTATTGGAGTTGTGGATGTCGATCTGATCACTGAAATTCCTTAAATTTAATCTCCTGCAAATAATAATCTGTGCGATGTCCCAACCTAGGGACAAACTTAAAAGAAAAGGTCATTCATGAGTGTCGGTTTTCACTGTCTGTGTTTCTTCCTAATGCAGACTTACTGTTACCCTAACAGTAGACTGGTACACATAGAACCTCAAATTAAAATAGTATAAGTGTTGTGAGTAGAATTTTGCGAAAGTTTCATACATACACATGGTATTTAATGATAATATCATCATTGCTTTATATTGTAACATGCTTGTAATTTTACTGATAACTTTGATGGTAAGAACATCATACGAACAAGTTCATACCGTAGAAATCCTCAAGTCTTGCAGGTTCCAGTCTTAGGATCTTTTATCTTACCTGATTGACCAGCTTCAAGCTTTTTACTGTGTTCAGGGGTTATCACTTGGTACTCCAGTATTTTCCAGCCGGATCTCTCCAATGGTCCACCAACTCACATATATATGATTCGCTTTCAACAACCTAGTTCAGTCTTATATGTTATAATGTAAATAGTTACACAATGACATAGGTAGTTTTGGTACTTGAACACTATATATATATATATATATATATATTTATCTGTGTGTGTGTGTGTGTATAAACATTCATACACCTTTTTTTAAGTGAAGGTGGTTTATGCTTACTTGAAGAATTTGGAGTTTTGATTAACAATAATTAGTATTGGTAAGAAGGTGCTTTTATCATGATTATGTTGCATCATTGGTAAGTCTGGAACTATTGGATAAAGACATGGAATTGTTTTAGGTGGTGGACTTGTTCTAGAGACAAGCCAGATGTTATTTAAAAAATTAATGAAATATTATAATTAGATATGGTAAATAATATTGGGATATTGATTGGACAATAATTTAATTCATGCACAATGTATGCAAAGATTTTGAAGTTAAATTTTTTTCTAGATTTTGGTGGTAATATTAACTAAGCTTAAAGGAGTTATAAATTACATTTTCTTTTCTTTTGAGACCATACATAATCTCATAAATGATAATTTTGATACTATATATATATATATATATATATAAGTAGGAAAATGTTAAAATGACCTATCCATTTACTAAATTGACCCACCCTATATTGGGGAATAAGGAGGGTCAATATGAGAGCTAGAAATGAGGGTGGGATTAGAATGACAAAGGCTAGGAATGAGGGGGATTAGAATGACAAAGGCTAGGAATGAGGGGGATTGGAATGAGGGCTATGATTGTAATTATGGTTTTTGGAGATGATCCATTTTTCTAGTGATGATTGTGATAGGTTGGATAAATTTAGTAAATGGGTGAGTCATTTTAACATTTCTCTCTCTCTCTCTGTGTATATATATATATATATATATATATGAGTTAATAAGCAATGCATAAATAAAAACAAGATATGAACATGTTATAATTTGTTGAATTATAATCCAAGTTACAAACTAATATAAACCAATGATGCTCATAAATACATTTATTGGTTATGAAATATATTAAAAATTCACATTAAAAATCTTTAAACTTCAATTCTTAAAATGTATATATAATAATTAAATTTTAATAGAACTAAATCAAGGTGCTTATGATATATAAAATTTTAGTTTAAATTTTAATTATGCATAAAGGATTTGAATTATATATATATATATATATATATATATATATATATATGTATAAAATTTCGAGTAAATTTATTGATATACTTTTTTGCACAATGATTTGCAATGTACCATACACAATAATAGTTTATAACTTTATACATCATATAAGTAATGTTCTTATGCAATTTTTTAAATATACAAGTATAACAATGAAAATATCAAATTTCATTTTGATGTATACACTTCAAATATGCATTTATTTACAGCTTAAGTAAATCATGAAGTAATTCAAACATTAATTATAAGCAATTTAACACAATCTTTGAAAATTATAATATTTGTATTAGATACATATTTTTATTTGAAGTGGAACATTATGAAATTTATTATTACAATAATATTCATATTCTTATGCATCTATTTAAGTAAAGTAAAAATTGATTCCATCAAACCATTAGTTTCTACATCCCTATAGTTGTCAAGGGGTTATTTGCATTATTCAACTTAAGATAGTCACACTTTCCCTTATGGATACTGGCTAGAAAAATCATAAACAAATCCACTTCAACCGAATAAGAAGAACTGCAAACATATTAAATGACTGGAATTGGAGGAATTTTCAAGATGTCCAAGGAGAGGAAGTTGTAGATAAAAACTACGTGAAATATGGCATGGCAAAAACAATTGATTAAGGAGTTGTATTTCTGGCTATGTCAGAGATGCTTATGAGATGGTAACCCATGAAGTTGCCGATTGAGCCAGGTATCATTGGTTAGAACATGTAATCGTATACTTGAAGTCAATTGAAAGCCTCTTCCAGTATTTCCAAAAAGTCGATACGTCGTTACTCTCAACAACAGAAACGTTTGCGAAGAATTGGAATTGCAAATAGTAGGAGAAACCAACTTCAAATGGGTGAGCCTTGAATACATGAATCAATTCTATTACAAGGGGTTGGCAGTAATGCCATGGGTCCTGAATTCTACAGTTTGTATTTTTTTACAAGACAGGAAATTATGCAACTAAGCAGCAAGACTATAATCGTGAGATACAAAACCAGTGGTCGCTTCAATCCTTGATAAATAAAACAAGCGGAATAGCTCTTTTAAAATTATTACAGATGCCTTAACCTGGGAAACACCTCAATAATCCGACGACATCCTCGAAGTCCAATACATCAAGCCACTGCAAGACATTGATAGCAAAAATGTAATTAGGTATGAAGCTAAGAAATCCGATTGACTCAATATAACATGTGAATTATTTAATGTTTGTGTTCTTGCAATGTCCACAACCATGTTGGTCTAAATCGCTACATGCTTGAAAGAATTTTAATCAAAATAATAACCCTTTCAGATTATGTGTTACCTGCAAAGGCATAAAAAGCATTGCAAGACCCCAGCTATGCCCGTCCATGTAGATGGAGTGGTAGGAAGCAAAGCATCTTGCACCAGCATACCCACAGAGCCCGCCAACGAGGTAAATGCAATGACATAAGCTAGGAACAGCCACGTTCTTGACCTGGAAACAGGAAATCAAACGAACATTAAGGACACCATTAGAATCTCAAAACTCACACGTCTTCAGAACTCCCAGAATCCCATTCTTAACAAGAAAAAATATTTTTCATCTTCTGTACATCTTCTTCCTCTGCGACTGCAAACCCAGGAGTTCGAAGCTTAATAGACATAGTTTAAGTACTGTGGGACACGATGCTTATATATAATGTGCAGTAGCCTAAATCCCACAAAAGCGCTCATTCATATGTTGCCCAACAAGAACTCATCCCCAGTACTGAACATATTATTGTAGATATCCCACGTTTCCTCCAAAAAATATTAAATTTCTAGCTGATGATGGTTGAATGAACCCCCTCAAGCCTTATAATCCTAGAATAGTCACCAAAGGAGCAGGAATTTGAAGATCTAGACACTTAAGGGCAGGGGAGTTCCAAAATATCGTACTCATGAGGCCTCATCTTTACACTCCTCAACTCCGAGTGGGGAATCACTGTAGCTATTCTCCAAAAGCTTCTAAGAGTACTTACCGACAGCCGTCGTTGTCATCAAAAGGTGAATAGTCCGTCAGCTCATCTCTACGCACACCATTGAACATCAATGCCGCAATTGTTGCGAATATTCCTGCAATGATGCACTTCTCTCATTCAGAATCCAAGAATTAAAAACTCGAAAGATCCTCAAAACTCGCGGATTAAAACTGCCTAAAGACAACACCTGATTCTCATTACTTCTCTGTACTTCCTTGCACACTGCTTCCTCAAATGGATTTGATACCGAATCTAATCCAGAAGCCCAAGCTAGAAGGACCTTAGTTCAATCGCACTCCTGAAACCCATCCAATCAGGAATTACAGATCATCCATATCCTTGGTAATTACTCAGCTCTCAAATACTTAACCCTATAGTGTTCAAAATCTCGAACTGGAAGGGTAATTCATCATGTAGACATCCTCTCCTCTACGAAATCCAGCCGAGCAAATACAGACAGGAAAGAAGAAGAAGAATACGAAGAAGAAGACAAAAAACATGACCAGGTCGTACATTAAACTCCAAAACAGCTCGTCAAGAAATTCGCAAAAGTTGACAACTCCAAAACCTAAAACCGGCATCTCATATACGACTATCCCCACAAACCCACAGAATCAAATCTTCATAGAACCGGACACATGCAATCCCAATCCCAATCCCAATCCATCGACGCACCCCAATTCTTAGAATACGTAAGGCGGGGAGAATGAAACCCTAATTCGTGCACGTCGAGAGAGAAGAGGCGAAGTGGATGTACCAGGGAGGTAATGGAGGAAGGGGACTCGGATGTCGCTGCACACCACGGCGTCCACCCAGAACCACCACGCCCCTCCGAAGACAGCCCCGGCGAGGCCAGGACCCAGCATGGTCCAGAGCTCCTGCAAACCCATGATTATTCCTCAATCAATCAAGCAATCATTCGGCAGACAGGCAATCTGTGGCTCTAGCGATTGACTGCGTTGCCGAGGTTCTGAGAGGCAAATTCGTCTTGACAATCACCGAACCATTCGAAGCCGGGCTTCGCACCGAGGAAGCTCTGCTGACGCCGCTCCCCCTCCTTTGTGCAGGCCCCTCTTGCGTGTGCTTCGAGGGTGCCCATCGGATGGATGAATAGTTTCGTGCGTTTATAATTTGGATGAATTCTGATTTGATGACATATGGTGGATGGATGAACGTCCTCGGTGATTAATATCACCACTGAACCATCGAAAACAATTCAGTGCCAATCAACAAATTGGTTTGCTGAAAGGCAAGACGTAATATATATATATATATATATATATATATAATGTTTTGATGATTGCGTATTGAAAACGGGGAAGTCTGTTTATGGGGATTTTTTTTTGATAAACTTGGTTGAAAAAATGTGTGAATTTGTATTCTGTTACAATAGGATAGTGTTATTTACTGAAGTATGCAACCACAGATGCACATGAAGGTCTAATTGATGATCGTTGAAAATAGATAAACTACTGACTTATTTCTTGTGATGCGTACTAAATATTTACGGAATAAAAGTAGTTTACTTGTAGTACTTCTATCGTAATTCAACAGAATTGCATGCTAAAATCTTTTCAGTAAGATGAATTTTGGTCTGTAGTACACAGAACGAACCACATTGAACTAGAAAATACAATAGAATTTATTTCTCTTATCAATCTACACATTACTGAGTCACAGGGAAGAAGACGCTATCTGGCAGATGAAGAAAGTTGCAAGTGTACAGAACACAAATGATGCCAAGACTATGGCCTCAATATGCTGAAATTCCTAGGGACCAAGCCAACTGCCAAACATATAACTAATGTGCGTCCAGACGCAATATATATTCACAAAATGTGAAAAATTACAGTTCCCTCAATATCCTACAAACACTACTATAATCACAAACGATAGTGTGTTAAGTACTGATTAAAAGAGCAGTAAGGAGCAATTCAAGTTTAAGTAAAAGACCAGATTTTCCAAACACTAATATTTTCTTATGTTGAAGGATGAGCATGAAATGGAGCAGTTCACAAATATTTAAATAATCAATGCCAGAGAGTCCAATGAAGAAATCTGAAACACAATTCTTGACATTTTTAGCTCTCATGCATTGCTTTGCAAGAGACAATATAGTAATGATCAGATAAAGTTGGTTAGCTAGATGCAGGGTCCCTCTGCAAAGCTCATGAGCTTTTTAAGCTAAAGTGAATGGATAAAGGTAGAAAAGCCTTTAGTTGAGCAGTTTACAAACTGAATCACAATGCTTCCATGTTTCTTCATTGGAATTACTACAGCAATAGAGACAATAATCTCCATATCCATTCTACAAGTTGTTAAGTGTAAAATCATAAAATGTCAATAAATGTAAGATAAGTAAATGCTAAAAGAAAATAAAAATTATAACTTGATAAATCAAAGTAGTACTAAATTGAAATAAATAGTTTAGTTTTTTAGTACTCATTTTTTTCTTAAAGAGAGCAAATCACCTTTTTTTGTGAAAATTTTCATTTAATATTAGATGTTGCAGATTACCTTCTTCTAATTTGACTTGTGGATTTACAAAGTTGTTTGAAATAGAAGAAAAAATTATGGATGTTGTACTTAACAAAAATAAAAATAGATTTGTAACTATTGCAGATCTTCATGAGCTTGTTAATACTTGTAGGATAGAAATTTCACACATTACCAATACCAACCATAAAAATATTATTCTTACACCTATGGAAGAAGTTTAGAGTCCATACCAAAAAGTTGTGTAGTTGAGAGAAGTAAGTAGATTAAACTTAAAACCAAATTTAAGAAGTCTCATTTCTACAAGCATAGGGAGGACAAGGATTAGTATGCCTAAGAAGTTTGATGGAAGAAGATCAAAATTTCAAGGATTTTTGCAACAAGTTAAGTTATATTTAAGGTTGCATTCTTTCTAATATTTCGATGGATTTACTCAAATTGGGTGCATAGATGCACTTCTTTTTAGAAGTGCTCTCTTATGATTTGCACCTTTGAGAAAAAAATATTCACAATTCTTTTATGATTTGAATTTATTCTTAAAAGTGTTTACAATCACATTTGGAGAAAGTGATTGAGAAAGAGTAGTAGAGATCAAGCTCTTATTTTAACGAAAAGGATTAAGGTCAGCTACCATATATGTTGCTGAATTCTAAAACCTCACTTATAATATGGATTGAAATAACAAAGCCCTTATCAATTAATTTCAATATGAATTAAAGGATAATTTCAAAGATTTGTTATTAACAATATCAAAAGTAGATTCTTTAAAATAATTTATTGCTTAAGCCATTGTATGCAATAATTGACTATTTAAAAGATATAAAGAACAAAAATTTGGTTGGAGAAGAACAAATCAAGTAATGATGGTAGCTCCTAAGGTTTCTAAAATTTATTTGTTAAGGTTGAAACTAATACAAATTGATATAATATATTTTAAATCTCTTATTAAGTAAGTAAAGACTTGATGTTATTAAGAGGATTTGTACTTATATTGTAGAAAAACTATGTTCATTGCTCAACATTGTCTAAAGAAGCAATATAATCACAAAATGAGGAGCATGGTTGCCAAAGAAGACAATTTGTCAAAAAATGAGTTTCTTCAGCTATAATAAAGATTTTATGGCTAGAATCATGTATAACATCTAGTAAAGGTTTAATTCTCTCTTCAGATCCTTCACTTTGTTTTACAATAGATGCAGATTTAGGACCTAATGATCACAAAGTCTTTGCATTATTAGATTTAAGAGCCTCAAATTGTTTTATAGACAAAAGATTTGTTAAAAAATAAGAAATAAATTTAGTCAAGAAAATTAAACCCATACATGTAAAAGTCATAGATTGAAATTTATTATCTTTTAGAGATATTATCCATGAGACTATTTATTTAGATGAAACAACTAAAGATCATAATAACATAGTGATATTTAATTTGATAAGATCTTCTCATAACTTGATTATTTTAGGATTATTGTGATTAAAAAAAATATAATCCTAAAATAGATTGAATTTCTTACAAACTTGATTTTTTTTTGTAATTTAATCCAAAATTTTGTTATTCACGTAGAAATATATAAGTTTACTACATCCAAATTCTTATTGATAGGTATGAGAGCTTTTATACATGTGATAAAAGAAGGATCATCTTTTGCTATATATGCCACACTCATTTTTAATGGTATAATGATATTAAGTAGTATTCTTAGTCAATATCAAGATTTGAAGAATATTTTTGAGAGGAGAAATGTAAATATTTTTCTATAATAATGACCTTATGATTGTTCAATTGAGCTTTGAAAAAGAGATCAATCTCTATTTGCATCAATATATCACAAAATAAGTTGGTTGTATTAAAAGAATATAGTAACAAGTATTTGGCTAAAAACTTCATATACCACTTAAAATCTCCAATAAGAGCTCTTATCTTATTTGTAAAGAAAAAAAGATAGATCTTTGCAAATGTGCTTAAATTATCAAGGATTTAACAAGATCACCATCAAAATAGGTATGATTTATATTTAATTTCAAGAATTTTTGACCAACTCAATTAAGTAAAGATTTACAAAAAAATAGATCTATGAAAAATATATAACTTGATCTACATCAAAAAAGAGATAAATGAAAGACTATTTTTTGAACTAAGTATAAATATTTTTAATATAATGTCATGCCTCTCGGACTCCTGAATATATTAGTTGCTTTTCAATATCTTATGAATGATATTTTTGTGATTTTTTTTTATGATTTTATTATTTGTTATTTAAATGATATTTTAATTTATTCTAAGAACACAAAGAAATATGAACTTTACGTTCATCATGTATTATAAAAACTTAGAGATGTAAGATTATATGCAAAAATGAAAAAGTGTATATTTCACACTACTTAAGTTGACTTTTTAGGATACATTATTTCCAACAAAGGTCTTATGATGGATTTCAAGAAGGTTCAAACTATTATAGATTGAAAGATTTCAAAATCAATTAATGATGTGCAATGTTATTTGAAATTTTTTAATTATTATTGAATCTTCATTAATTTACTTTTTAAAGTTGTAGTTCCTCTTAGATGTTTGACTTGTAAACACAAACTTGAGTGGAGCAAAAAAGCTCAAGCATCTTTTGAAGCCTTAAAGTAAACTTTTATTGGTGTATTAATTTTATATTGTATTGACTTCTTAAAAGCATTCTTCATAAAAATATATGCATGAAAATTTACTATGGTTGTAATTTTGTCACAAATAAAAGTAGATGAAAAGCTCTATTTGATAGCTTTTTATTTTAGAAATTTTTTAGCAATTGAGATTAAGTATATGATCTATAATAAAGTACTTCTTTTAATTATGGATTTATTTCAAAAGTGGGGTCATTATCAAGAAAGCACTTTTAGTCTAGTTATCGTATATATGGATCATAAGAACCTTGAGTATTTCATATTGGCATGCATTTTAAATCGTCACCAAGCTTGTTAGAATATGTCTTTATCAAGATTTGATTTGAAGATTACTTATCAATCTAAAAAAAAACAAGGATTATTAAATGTATTTTTTAGATATTTTTATCTTATACCAAAAAAAAAGATGCTATTTTTAATCAACAAAAAATAATTCTCTTAAAGTTAGAGGATTTTCATCTTTAAGTAATGAAAATAAAATTGACTATTGATTCAACTTTTCTCAAGCAAGCTTAATTGAATATGTTCAATGATTCTCTTATTTATGATATTAAAAAAAATTCTCCTAAATCTTATAATTTTTTTAAATTTAAATTTAAGAATAAAATATTCTATTTTTAGAAAAAAATTATATATTCTAAAAGGTGAAGTATGATTATGTGTTTTTAAAGTTTATTACAACTTCTCAGCAACCAAATATTTTGGATGTAATAAAACATTGAAGCCAATATTTAAAGATTTTTAGTGGCTTCAAATATAAAAGATAATTAAAGACTTTGTATAATCATGTGATATTTATTCAAGATTAAAAACTCCTTATCATTGATCTTATAGACTTCTTTAGCCGTTACCTATTCCAAAACAACCATGGCCTTATGTTACTATGGAT